GCATAGTAAGGTGAGCATCCAAACTGCCTAGGCTCCCACAAAGCCAGTATGTGCAGTAGGATCAAAAACCCATTGCCATTGTTCTTGAGTTCTCAGTAGTCCTCATTGTCTGCTATGTTCAGCGAGTCCGGTTTTATCCCATGATTTTTCAGACCTAGGCCAGCTGGCCTTGGTGAGTTCCCGATAGAACATCCCCATTGTCTCAGTGTGTGGGTGCACCCCTCGCGGTCCTGAGTTCCTTGCTCGTGCTCTCTCTCCTTCTGCTCCTGATTTGGACCTTGAGATTTCTGTCCGGTGCTCCAATGTGGGTCTCTGTCTCTGTCTCCTTTTATCGCCTGATGAAGGTTAATATTCAGGAGGATGCCTATATGTTTTTCTTTGGGTTCTCCTTCTTATTTAGCTTCTCTAGGATCACGAATTATAGGCTCAATGTCCTTTATTTATGGCTAGAAACCAAATATGAGTGAGTACATCCCATGTTCCTCTTTTTGGGTCTGGCTTACCTCACTCAGGATAGTGTTTTCTATTTCCATCCATTTGCATGCAGAATTCAAGAAGTCCTTGTTTTTTACTGCTGAGTAGTACTCTAATATGTATATATTCCATACTTTCTTCATCCATTCTTCCATTGAAGGGCATATAGGTTGTTTCCAGGTTCTGGCTATTACAAACAATGCTGCTATGAACATAGTAGAGCATATACTTTTGTTGAATGATAGGGTATCTCTTGAGTATATTCCCAAGAGTGGTATTGCTGGGTCCAGGGGTAGGTTGGCCCCGAATTTCCTGAGAAACCGCCACACTGCTTTCCAAAGTGGTTGCACAAGTTTGCATTCCCACCAGCAATGGATGAGTGTACCCCTTTCTCCACAACCTCTCCAGCAAAGGCCATCATTGGTGTTTTTGATTTTCGCCATTCTGACAGGTGTAAGATGGTATCTTAAAGTTATCTTGATTTGCATTTCCCTGATCGCTAAGGAAGTTGAGCATGACCTTAAGTGTCTTTTGGCCATTTGAACTTCTTCTGTTGAGAGTTCTCTGTTCAGTTCAGTGCCCCATTTTATAATTGGGTTGATTAGCCTTTTACGGTCTAGTTTCTTGAGTTCTTTATATATTTTGGAGATCAGACCTTTGTCAGTTGCGGGGTTGGTGAAGATCTTCTCCCAGTCAATGGGTTGCCTTTTTGTCTTAGTGACAGTGTCCTTTGCTTTACAGAAGCTTCTCAGTCTCAGGAGGTCCATTTATTCAATGAGGCCCTTAATGTTTGTGCTGCTGGGGTTATACGTAGGAAGTGGTCTCCTGTGCCCATGTGTTGTAGAGTACTTCCCACTTTCTCTTCTATCAGGTTCAGTGTGTTTGGACTGATATTGAGGTCTTTAATCCATTTGGACTTGAGTTTTGTGCATGGTGATAGATATGGATCTATTTTCATTCTTCTACAGATTGACATCCAGTTTTGCCAGCACAATTTGTTGAAGATGCTCTCTTTTTTCCATTGTATACTTTTAGCTCCTTTATCAAAAATCAGGTGTTCATAGGTTTGTGGGTTAAAGTCGGGGTCTTCTATTCGATTCCATTGGTCGATTTCTCTGTTTTTATGCCAGTACCACACTGTTTTCATCACTGTAGCTCTGTAATAGAGTTTGAAGTCAGGGATGGTAATGCCTCCAGACGATCCTTTATTGTATAAGATTGTTTTGGCTATCCTGGGTTTTTTGTTTTTCCATATAAAGTTGATTATTGTCTTCTCCATGGCAACTCTTAAAAAGAAAAACATTTAACTGGGATTGGCTTACAGTTTCAGAGATTTAGTCCATTATCATCATGGCAGGTCATGGCAGCATGCAGGCACACGTGGTGCTGGAGAAGGAGTGGAGAGTTCTACATCTTGATCTGCAGGCAGAAGGAGAGACTGGGCATGGTTTGAGCAGATATGAGACCTCAAAGCCTGCCTTCACAGTGACACACTTCCTCCAACAATGCCACACCTACTGCGACAAGATCAAGCCTCCTTATAGTGCCACTCTCTATGGGCCAAGCACTCAAACACAAGTCTATGGGGACCATGCCTATTCAAACCACCAGAGACCCTTCTGATTCTGTACCCTGGACTTTGTTAACCAGGATCTTTCTTGTATCAGAGACTGCTCTCCCATTTGGCCCAGTTTGCTTGCTTTTCCTCAATCATTACTTTCTTGGTGGCAACTCTCTGATGTGCTTGCCTTTCTCAGGATAGCCCTCTCTCTCCCTTCCCGCCATTGTCTTATTCATTTACCCTTCCCACTTCCTCTCATTCTCAGAGAACGCCCATCCTCTTGTGGAGTCTTCTTGGGTTAGTGCTGGTTCGTGGATTTCTCTGATTTTCAAACTCCCACAGCACTTAGCCTGGGGTACGTGATTTATCACGTAATTATATAGTGTCTCTTATTTATTTTCGTTTGTTGTGCTAGATTTGCCTTTTCTAGCGAGGTTGTTGACTCTTTGAACACGACATACCTTGTATTTTTTTTAATTCCTTGAAGCATTCCAGTACACATACAGTAAGCACTTCCTGCCCTACCTAAATGCTGGTTACTTCAACCATTGATAGGCACAGATGTGAGACTGCCTGCATATCATGTGATATCTACTGCTTGATAAATATTTCTCAGTTTTAGTAAATTGGCTTGAATAATGAAAGAAATGAACTCCAAATGTGGTGCCCAGTTGGGTAAATCATACCAGTTTTACATTTTAAAATCTGTGAAACGAAGGTCTTCATGCTGGTCATAGTGACTGTATTAGTATTTCTTTGTAACTGTTATAAAAATAGTATGGACAAAAGCAACATATCAAGGAAAGTCTTGATTTTGGCTTAAGGTTCTAGAGAGATAAGAGTTCCTCATGGTGGGGAGGCATAGCAGCAAATGACAGAGTCCAAAGTGGAAGTATAACTCTGGCCATAATTGAGGTTAAGACATTCCTTTTTTTCTTTCAAATATCTCTTTCTTCCCCTTTCCCTTTTAGTTTTCCCCAATCTCGTGATTTTTCCCCCATCTTCTCCTCTCTTTCTTCCATTGGTCCTTATTTTAGTTGACTATAACATCAATGTGTATTTGTTATCATTCATAGTATTTCTTGAATTGGCATTGGTTTTTTGCTTTTTTTGTATTGTTACTGTTTTTGACACAGGTCCAGCTATGTAGCTCTGGCTGGTCTGCCTCTGGAGTGCCAGGATTACAGGCATGTGCCACATCTGGCCTCAATTAAAATAAAACTATTTGGGATGGCATATACCTCTATATATGTACGTTATTATATAAAAAACTGCATGTACACATACAAATTTCTCCCTCTCTATGTATTTTTTAAGACAATGTCTCACTATGTAGCCCTGGCTGGAATGAACTCAATATGTAGACCAGGCTGGTCTCAACCTCACAGAGATCTCTCTGTCTCCACCTCTTGAGTTCTGAGTTTAAAAAAGGTATGTGCCACCAGTTCCAGCTCTAACACGTCCTCTTAGTAGTGTTCAATCATCAACAGTTCCCCTCTTTGGGTTAGTGTATGTACAGTGGGTACATTTGTGTAACTCTTCTCAAGAACAATGGCACTTAAGATTTTTCTTTTGGAGCCCAGCATGGTAGCACATGCCTCTATGCCAGCACTTGGAAGGCAGAAGCAGGCAGACCTCTGTGGAGTTTGAGGCCAGCTGGGTCTACAAAGAGAGTTCCAGGTCAGTCGGGGTTATATAGAGAGACTGTCTTAAAAAAATGCAAATATACAATACTGATGTTGAAATTTTCAGTGTTGTGGGGCAGACCTTTCTTTATCTAGTAGATTGGTTTTGTGGGCTAGCTTGGAACTCACTATGTAGCCTACAGTAGCTTAAAAAATTCAGGGTTCTTCTGTCCCAACCTCCTAGTGTTAAGGTTAGGAGCCACAGCCACTACACTTAGCATAGACTTTCTCTTCGCAGAGGCTCAACTAGAGCAATAGCCCTAGGGGAGGAAGCCCATTTGAAAAAAACACATGGGGTTTATAAAGTTCTGGGTTCTAGTGTTGATTTTTTTGGTAGGAACTTGAAAATTTTTGTATTAAAAATATGCTTGTTTTCCTGCCAAAAGAAGTATCTTCAGAGCCTGATGTCTTAAGGAAAGAGCTTGTCTAAAAAAAAAAAAAATCGTCGCTCCAGAAGTCGAGGACTCTGTGTTACAGAGGTCTGTTTCCCAGATTTCAGTAGAGCACTGAGCAGAATGGAGTTCACATCCTCTAGGATTAAGAGTAACTTCTGGCATTTCTTAGTAAGGCTCAAATCCAGACCCGAGCCATACCTGAGAAAGTGACCTAACCCCGTCACCATCTTCAAAGCTGTAGAGAGGCGCTGGGACCCCATTCGTAAGAACATCTCTGTTCTTTAGCTTTTCAGGGCATAGGCAATACTATTATAGAGGAAGAGAAATCCAACTTTTCGTGCCTGGTCCCTTTTCTAAGTGGACACCACTTCTGTTCCGGACTCTTAAAGAGAAAACATCTCAGTTTTTCCCATCTCCTGAAAAGCGCTGTTTGTTCTTGTGTGTGTGTGTGTCCAGGTGTTCCCATGCCAGTCAGGGTGGAGAGCCCAAGGTACCCCTCAGGAGCTGCGTGGGCTTGGATAGGCTTTGGCAGCCACTCTCCAGGTCTGGCCTCCCCTGCAGAGCCGGTGATAAGCTTGGGAAGGCAGCCGGGGGAGTTGAGTTCCTTACCTGGCGAAGAGGCGGGGAGGGGCGGCCGTCAGGGGAGGGGCCCAGGTGGAATCCCGGGCTGTGATTGGTCGGGGCCGCGCCTGTCTCCACGTGCCACGAGGCACAACATTCAAGCCCGGGGGGCGGGGCCGGCGCGCGCTTGGAGGAAGCAGAGGCACTGCAGCTGCGGGGCGTGGGGGCGGCGGCTTCGGAGGCCAAGGCGGTGGCGGTGGCCCTGACCTAGGCACCGGCACCGCGACCAGGAAAGCGCTCGGCCGGGACCCCACAGGAGGCCCTATGGAGGTGGCGGCTGGTGGAGGCTGCGGCGCGGGGCCGCCTTTGCTGCTGAGTGAGAGTGAGCAGCAGTGCTACTCTGAGCTCTTCGCGCGCTGTGCAGGCGCTGCGAGCGGGGGCCCGGGACCTGGACCCCCCGAGGCTACCAGGGTCGCCCCCAGCACTGCCACTGCGGCCGCCGGTCCAGTGGCCGATCTGTTCCGAGCGTCCCAGCTGCCACCGGAGACGTTGCACCAGGTATGTCTCTGTGCTCTTTTATCCCTCGCGGGTCTGTGGGGATGGTGTCTATGGAAGAATGGGGCGACAACGACTATTCGCGGGGATCTAGAGGGCGGCGGCCAGGGCGGTAAAAAAGGGGGGTGCTGTGCAGCCGAGGATGGCGGCGACGCCCTTGTCCCCGGGGACAGCAGCCTCCTCTGCAGCTCTCCTCCTCACCCAGTGCTTGGGTGCGCTCTTCGTCCCTTGAGGGAGTCCAGCACCCCTGTCGTTTCTGGGGGTTCTTCAGCCTCCCAGACCCAAAGTTTGCCCTGTTCTGGAAGTGATGTTTGTTTTGGCTGCTGTCTGCTTTAACCTCTGTTCCTTGCTCCTGCCCCTCCCTTTGTTGACTGCACACTCAGGGTGCCTTGCTGGGATTTGAACTTAAAGGGTGTGTATGTGTGTGTCTGTATGGCTCTTGGCCTAGGACTACATGTTGTCCTCTCTTTATATTTGTGATATGTATCTGCTACATACATTTGCTCAGTAATGTGTTTTTGATTATTAGTGTGAAACTGCAAAATCTTAATGCCCAGTTGTAGAGCAGGGACTTGAGGCTCCAAGAAAAGGGCATTGGTCAAGTCCAAAATAAGTTCCCCATTTGGGCCCAGGGCTGGACTCAGAAGTATATAGCTGTACTTTCCTATTTTATTGTTCCTTGACTTTGACGTGGAGTTACGAAACAAAGGGTGTCATAGCTTCTTTCTGCCCGCCCCATACCTGGAAAGGAGGAAGGGATGATTTGCAGCAGGTGCTGTTTTTGTTTGGTGCTTTCCTTGAAGCTTGCCGAAAGACTGCTTGTTAAGCCTTTTGTCTGTCATTTGTTGTCACCAGCAGTAACTGGTGATAAAAATGTTACTATAAAACCCCAAATATAAATCTTCACTTCAAAAGCAATAGTGTGAAAGTTATTAACACCACCTGAATATTTACAGTGTCGAGCAAGGCTTTCAAATGTAGTTCCTAGGGAGTGCTGAGGGCTTTATGGTTTGCTTGCCATATCATTCATTGCCTTTGTGGGTTTTGCCTTTTTATCTGTCAAGATTGGTTTATACTGCTGGAGCCTACATATATGCTCATGTGTTTATGAGTGTGATTTGAGCCACTTGCTTCACCTTTTCGAATTTAGGATTTCTGAACATGATTAGTATTCATAGAATTTGGCATGGCTGTTTTTTTTCCCTGTAGAATTTCTTGATAAGAAGATAGGTCAGCTACTGCTGCTGAGCAGTTGAGTTGCACAAGGTGATGAGGAAGTAGTGTTCTGAAACAAACTGTAGCTCTTATAGTGACTTCCGGATACTCACAAGCAGAATACATTTACTACATTGCTGGGGCAAGGCACCCAATAGGTGGGCTGGGCATGTTGCAGGGGTTATTTTGTAGTCAGTAATACATCAAGTGTGATATGAGGAAGGGGGCATCTGAGAATTGGTTGAAGTTTTTTCAGGAATCGGAGAGGGGCTTTCCTGTGTGCTAACAGAGGCTTCCTTGAAGTTGACATAATTGAAAAAGACCTCAAGGTACAGGGACTTAGAGTGGAAAACTGTACACCAAGACTGTTTCAGATGTTAGCAAAAGAGGCCATTCCTAGATTGCTTGTGGGAAGTCTGAGCTTTATGCACCCATACTAACTCCAGAAAATCAACCGTACTCCCTTTAACTTAGTAAAATTAGAATAGCCCACTACTCTTGGTACAGTGTAAAAATTAACATTTGAAGTCACCCTGAACTTGGATAGGTAATCAAAGTTGGCATCTAGTGGCCATCTAAGTTTTATCTATCACTTTGGTGCTTTGTCTAACTTCATTGATTTCACCTCATTAGAGTATTAGCTTTTTAAAAACAAATGTAGAAAACTTTCCCCTTTCCCTTCTAAATAGGAACCTGTAAGTTCAGATTTAACTGGCCCAACAGGTATAACTGCTCAGATCATTGAGACAATAACAAGACCTGGTGGTTTCTATGGTAAATGGCCAGGTTTTCCTCTTAATAAGCATACAATTAAGATTATTATAATCTACGGCTGGGGATGTAGCTCAGTGGGTAGAGTGTTTGCCTAGCATGCACAAAACACTGGATTTAGTTCCCAGCACTGCATAAAAATCGGACGTGGTGGCACAAGCCTAAAGTCTCAGCTCTCAGTAGGTAGAGGCAGAAGGGTCACAAGTCAAGGTCATACTCAGGTAATTTGAGGCCAGCCTGGGTAAATGAGAACTTGTCTTTAAAAAGAATCTTATTATCTATTAATAAAGAAGAAAATCTGGCCAGGAGTAAATGCCCTATAAAATACATAATTTTACTGGGTGATTGTGATGTATTCCAGCACTTGGAGGCAGAGGCAGAAGGATCTTTATTAGTTTTGAGGCCAGCCTGGCCTACAGAGCAAGTTCCAGGACAGCCAGTGAGGTTACAAAGAGAAACCCTGTCTCAAAAAAAGAAAAAAAAAAGAAACAACAACAACAACAAAATCTTAATTTTATTTTCTTTTAGAAGCATAAAATAAACTACTGCAGCTGGGCGGTGGTGGCTCACACCTTTAATCCCAGCACTCTGAAGGCAGAGACAGGCAGATCTCTGAGTTCGAGGCCAGCCTGGTCTACAAGAGCTAGTTCCAGGACAGGCACCAAAGCTACAGAGAAACCTTGTCTCAAAAAACCAAAAATCAAACCAAACCAAACCAAAACACAATCCCCACTGCATCTATTATTTAGTTTTAGAAGTAAACCTACAGATTATTGTAGGGTTTTCTCCAATTTATATAGAAATATTTGTATATACTTATAAATTGTATGCATAACATTTTATATGTGGGATTTAGATACCTGTACACTTATCTATAAAAATATTAACACTTGTTATGGTTAAGAATTTTCTAAAGATCCATGCATTAAAGGTTTGGTTTTCAGGATGATGTTGTTGGGAGGTGATTGTAAGCTTGAGTGGGCATAGGAGGTCCTTAAATCACACAATAGCTAACTCCAAATGACGAACTTAATATTTGACTTAATGCATTGACAAACATGTAGACTAGTTTATGATGTCCACTTTTATATGGTATCACTCTCTAGAGATGCTGTTCATGTTTCAGGCTGATAGTTATAATTGGTTGTCATTTTTATGGTAGGTCATTCTTGGGCATCAAGATTAGTTATAAAATTCTGTTCAATCTATATTATCAGGAGAAGTCATTGAATGGGGGAAGAAGCCCAATAAGTAGTATCTGTCACATTTGGATTGTGGTAAAGAAGTATGTCCAGGCTGTGAGAAGTAGTTTTTGTTTTTTTTTTTAGATTTATTTTTTTTTATGTATAAACATTTTTTCCTGCATTTATGAATGTGTTCTCTGTCTCTCTCCTCTCCTCCCCCTCTGTCTCTGTCTCTCTCTCTGTCTCTCTCTCTCTGTGTGTCTGGTGCCCACCAAGGTCAGAAAAGGGCATTGGATTCCCTGCAATCTGCAGGTACAGACAGTTGTGTGCTGCCATGTGGGTGCGGGGGATTGAACTCTTGTCCTTTGCAAGAGCAGCAAGTGCTCTTAACCATTGAGCCAGCTCTTCAGCTCAGTTGGGGATGTTTTGAAAATCTCTGTTCCCAATCTCTTCACTGAGAAGTCATTAATTTGAACTCAGGATCTCTCATAGCCCAAGCTGGCCTCAAATACACTATATTGCAAAAGTTGACCTTAAACTCCTGCCACTACCTCCCAAGTGCTGGGATTACAATGTGTGTCACCACAAGTCACTCATTTAAAAATTAAAAAATAACTTTGAAGAAACTGCTTATTCACTAAGGAAATCAACAAAATCCTGATCAGGAAAAATTTCCTGTTATGAGTGAGATTATTCGCCAGAAACATTTTTTCTTATAATTTTTAAATTATTTTATTTTTGCAGTAATACAATTGCATTATTTTCCCCTTCCTTCAAACCCTCCCATATATCATGCCCTGCTCTCGTTCAAATTCATGACCTGTTTTTGAATTAATTGTTGTTACATGCATATATCTATTTGTATATACATTTATCTTCCAAAATACAACCAGCTCAGTGTGTATAATGTTACTTGTTTTCAGGGCTGGCCATTTGGCATTGGGTAACTAATCCATGTGCTCTTCTCCAGTGAAGACCCTCCTCAGCATTCCTCAGTTGCTTTAGTTTCTTGTATAGAGTTTAGGCCTCTTGGACTCTTCCATCATCTATGTATATTGTTGTTTTCTTTGGTCAGTTCATGTTGAGACATGGTGGAAAGATATTGTGGGTGTAGCTTCTGAGGGTGCTAGGAGACAGCCTCAGAAAACTCCCTGGACCTCTGGTTCTCAGAATCTTCCCACTCTCTCTTCCACAGTGATCTCAAAGTGTTAGGTGCTGGGGCGTTTTACAGATGTATCCGTTGGGACTGGGTTCCATAACTCTGCACAATGATTTGTGGTTTTCTCTAATGGTCTCCATCTGTTGCAAAGAGAAGTTTCTTTTTTTAAAAATTTATTTATTTATTAAAGATTTCTGTCTCTTCCCCGCCGCCGCCTCCCATTTCCCTTCCCCGATCAAGTCCCCCTTCCTCGTCAGCCCAAAGAGCAATCAGGGTTCCCTGCCCTGTGGGAAGTCCAAGGACCACTCACCTCCATCCAGGTCTAGTAAGGTGAGCATCCAAACTGCCTAGGCTCCCACAAAGCCAGTACGTGCAGTAGGATCAAAAACCATTGCCATTGTTCTTGAGTTCTCAGTAGTCCTCATTGTCTGCTATGTTCAGCGAGTCCGGTTTTATCCCATGATTTTTCAGACCTAGGCCAGCTGGCCTTGGTGAGTTCCCGATAGAACATCCCCATTGTCTCAGTGTGTGGGTGCACCCCTCGCGGTCCTGAGTTCCTTGCTCGTGCTCTCTCTCCTTCTGCTCCTGATTTGGACCTTGAGATTTCTATCCTGTGCTCCAATGTGGGTCTCTGTCTCTGTCTCCTTTCATCGCCTGATGAAGGTTAATATTCA